TCGTCCCCCAGGGAGGGCAGGAGCGGCGCCTGGGGAGAGGCACGGTGCGGCCGGAGACGTCGCGGGGAGCCCACCGCCCCTCCTGCCCCACTGCGTCCTCCCTGCTGCAGCAGGGGCCTGGGTGGGTGGGAGAGGCCATCACCAGGACCACGGTGGTGGCTCCATCTTGCTGCTTCACGACTTGTTGGCGCTCTGGGATCCCCTACGCAGCTCCAGCGTGAAGTGGGACCGCTGGTACCAGTGGTACCCAAGCCCCCGACGTTCCCAGCTGGCTGCGGACCAATCCAACAGCCGGCTGCCGGAGAGGTGGGACAGGGCACCAGTTGGGTCTTTCTGCAGATGGGATGGACAGAACCATTCTGTGCATTCAGGGCACTCGGCCCGGCATCATCTGGGGAGGGGGAGCGATGCGGCAGAGACGGCAACGCGGGGACGAAGGGAAAGACACACCGGAGACCTGATGCTCGCTGCGTCTAGGAAACCCCTGGTCCGTAAGGGATACGGGCTGAGCAGGCAAGGGGCCACGTTCTGCAAGTACCCACACACGTGCCGAGGAGCTGCACGTGGGTAATTCAGTTCCCTCCACAAATGCTTTGATTTGGGAGGAAAGCACAACTCTTCTTTTATTGGAACCGCAGCGTTTTCTCCTTCAGATACAGATTTATAGAAAACTTTGTCTAAATTACAATTATTTCCCTCCTAATGAGAGTCATTTTTAATTACTCATGCACCTTTGAAGGAGGATAACAAAGGGCTTGGGTTTATTAGCAGCCTTTTATCGGCATCCCACGGGACTTCTCTGTTGTTAGGGGATTTAAGCTCTGCCTTGCCCATGGAACTGTCAGAAAGCAGAAGGGCTCTAGAAACGTGCTTGTCTTTTAGGGCTGCGTAGAAGATTGTGGTAGGAATGAAACCCATCACAGAGCAGGACGTTTTTACCATGCCAGATTAATGTAGCAACCTCTACAAAGGGTGCAGATGAGATGTGCTTCGTTCACGTTTCCGAATTAAACACCGTGACACGCCGGCAGGGATGCTCCCAGGGTTTGGGATGGTACTGACCAACCTCTGCTCCAGCGCTGCTGGAAACCTGGCACTGCCTTGGTAGCAGAGGACAGCACGCCCTGATCCACGGATCCCTGATTTACAGAGGCCCCTTGGTGCCTCTGCCCTTGCGCAGAGGTGGTGCCTTTGACATCCACTGCAGAAGACCGCGCCAAAATGCTCGACACCCTGAGGTCATCCGTTAGGTGCAGCGTGCCCTGGGCACTCGTGCAGCGTTGGACGTGCAAGCGGTGGTAAGAGTGGATGTGCCAGAGCCGGGCTCGGTGAGTGTGGAGGACTCATTGAGGGGGAGATGATAGCTGGGATGTGATCAGTGAGAAGAAAAATGAAAGATGAAAATACCGGATAGGCCCAGCGAGCCACTGCTTGGTGATGTTCAGGAGAGCTGAGAGCTTGGGAGAGAGGGAGAGAAGAGGGGTTTGAAACTCCCCAGGGGAAAACAGGCTTTCAAAGGTGCCCTTCTCCCTGGTAATGCTCTTATCTGGGTCCTGGGAGAGGTGTAAGAGCTGGCGAAGCTCTCGTGGGGTAGTACTACAAAGTGGAGTTGTCCGACCCCATCAACTAGGGAGGGCTGGAGAACCCTGATGCTTCAGCAGCCCTGATGGAGAAATCCTGGAGCAGGGAGCCGGACGCAGCATCTGCGTCTGCAGGAAGGGCTGTCCTGATTTGAGAGACTCACACGTGGTTTAGGGTGTAATTTTAGCTCTTGCCAAGCCACCCCTGCTGCCCAAAGAGCCCTCCCCGCTCCACAGAAGTCCCCCTGCTGCTGAGCATCAGCACGCACTGCCGTGGCAGCAGCGTTAAGAGGGAGTCTGCCAGCAAGTGCAGCCACGGGGAATGCTGCTGCGGTGCTCCAGAGAGCCGTGGTCAAAGCACGTACCTGCACGTTCCTGTTGAGGCTGACCGCAGGGAAGAAGAGGCCCTCCAGGTTCTCGAAGGCGACGGGTCCTTGCTGGTCCTCGTTGATGGAGAACGTCAAGGTCCTCCTGGTCAAATCCAGCAGCACTCCCACCGTGGCGCCTTTCGTTATCCCACCCTCGGTTCTGCGGGGGCGAGAAGGAAGATCAGAGCGTCTCGGCGGCTTGAGGTCCCTTGTGCTCCCAGCTCGGGGTTCAGGCCATGGACCTCAAGGGCTGACGGTGCTGAACTTCCCCCAGGAGCCAAGCCGTGACCTGCACCCATCCCAGCCACGCTCACCAGTCCCTGGGCACCTCCTCCTCAAGCTCTCCGCTTGCCATGACATCCCCATGGGCAAAGCTACCTACGAGAGCAGCCACAGCAACACAACCACGGGGGAAAACGAGTGGACCTGGGGAGCAAAGCTGCAGGGCCCGCTTCAAAACCTGCTGACCCACCAGGGAACGGCCCTTGAGGCTGCAGGAAGGTGACACCAGGCTCTCCCCCAAGCGACCACAAGCTTCAAAGCCCCCCAGCCCCGCTGTCCCGTGGGGAAAGCGAGCAAATCGGCGTGGCACAGGGATAAAGGTGAACCCCGTTGCGTTGTTGCACGAGTTGCAAGGCTTTGGGTGTTACGGGGAAGGGGACGCTGCACGGGAGCGATGCTTTTTTTTGTCAGCACGGAGAGAGTCGCAGCAGGCAGGGAAGGAATATCGGAGCAAGGCAGAACCAGGGAGGCAGGGGACTGTCCTTCTCTTGGGGCAAGGGCACACCCTCTGATAGAGGCGATGAGGAGCGATGTCGCCGTTCCCGCAGGTGCCACTGGAAAAGCCACGGGCTCTTCCTTGGGCTGTGGTCTTTGGGAGGAAGACCCCGTTCCAGACCACGTACCTGTTGGTGTGCGAATTGTTGTGCATGAACCAGCTCCGGTTATTGTCCACGTACATGGCCCAGGCCTTGTCGTCCTTGCCCAGCATGGCATCCTTCAGGACATCGATGCGTGCCACGCCGAAGGCCGGGTCGGGGTGGTTATCGTAACGATCGATCGACAGCTCCCAGTAATGGAGCCCTTTGGAAAAGCCCGTTTTCCCCAGCACAACCCTGTCATCATAGCTGTTGCAGGTGACAGTCAGGTTGTCATTAGAAAAGATGATGTCAGCGTGGGCAGAGGCAGGGTCGAAAGAAAACCAAGCAACTGGAACACACAAACGACAGCGGGTTAGTCCGGCGGGAGCGCGGCCGGCGGGTGACCGAGCCCCGTGGAGCGGACACGGAACGGCACATGCTGCATGCATGCAGGGCCGGGACGGCGGGCGAAGGCAC